CTGGTTGTTTGCCTCATACGATTGCAATCGTCTTGACGAAGCTTATTGATGAGGACTCTCAGCTCTTCTTGTCCCTGAGCCAAGTTTTGGATGAGAGCCATCTGGTCCACCAGTTGTCCCATCATTTGGACTTTCATTACGGCTATCTCGGTTTGTAGCCGCTCCAACTGGTCATTTCTGTCGTCCCCAAAATTTCCCATGATCATGCCCCTGGTGAGGAGAGCTTTCACCTCTTCTTGTCCCTTGGACAGATTCAAGAACATCTCTTGAAGTTGGGTGTTTTGAGCCTGGATGTCTTTCACCGTTTGTTCCATATCCATCTTACTGAAATAAAAAGTAGGAAGATAAGGAGACATGTATGGGAGAAACCTGTCATGATATGATGCATGATATGTGGATGTATGTTTTCAAGGATCTCGCAGGGTAAATGTTAGTAGTCACTTACATCTTTAATTGGAGAACTTTGTATCGGTGGATGTCTTTCCACGAGAGTTTAGCTCACCATGCCAAGTGGGTTGTAACCCTTGACTCAAATTGTTGTAATTGATCTTTGACGGCGTTTGGTTAAAGGAAAATAAATCCTCTTGCCCCTTTGATAGACGTCTGGTTCATTGTGACCCTGTATCAAAGGCCCTTGAGATCCTTGAAACGGTTATTGAAAATGCTATTGTATGATGTTATGTATAAGTATGCAAAGTAAACAAGTTTATATGCAAATAATCATATATACACAAAGCAGACAAGTCCTTAGGTTTAGGCTTGCATGGAGTTAGTAGGTAAGTACCCTCTTAAAGTTTAGTTGGCTCAACCTGTCCTAGTAATAGTAACCGGGTTCTAAGGGGTCTCAATATCACTGATATTTCCCACAAACTTCATTCTGATTGACAACTGACTTGCCACCAAACAAAGCTCTGGAGTCAAATCTCAATGAGTGTACTATCGAGTATCAACCAACTTCGGACTGCACCAAAGTCGGTCATCTCACTACATCCTAAAGGCCAAGTTGGTCAAGTAAAGGTTCTAGAAGTTCATTAGTGCTTCATGACATCACTCAGCGGCCCTGTATTCTCTTTGATTAACTCAAAGGCTACCGGTACCCACAAATATGTCGCACTAACGTAGCTATTGCTTAGACCATGTTGGTATACCCTGCACAGTTTCCACAACGTATTGTTACTTACCTATAAGGTGTCCCAAATTCGGGTAGAGGATTCAAACCCAAACAAAGAACCATAATGTAAAGCAAACAAGTCAAACAATGCAAGCAAGTAAATATGATCTAACCCTAAGGTAACCCCACTTTTAGAATATTCCCCAGCAGAGTCGTCAGTTTTGTGATATAGTGGGAGAACTGACTTGGGTGTTTTGCGTTTGATCGCAAATGGTGCGGTTAGCAAGAGTCGCCACCGACTTTTCTTTTATCCAAAAGGAAAGGTGAAAAAGCATAGGATAGACCTTTGAGATTGTTTCTTGAGTTCGGGGGGTAGATTATGAAAAGGGAAGGTATTAGCACCCTTTTCATCCATGGTTTTCCATGGGATCTTAGTTATTTGCTAGATCATTTGCTTTTGTTTGAAATTATGCTTTGTGTGGGTTTTGAAAGTATTTTGTAAAGAGGCCATTGTTTAGGCAAATTTTGTAATGATTCTCGTTCGTAAGAATGTATACAAAGTGTTGGTCTTTTGAAAATATTTTCAAGTTTTGTATGATGTTTTGAAAGTGTAGGTGTTTGTTTTGAAAATAGCAAGGATGTTTGGTTTTGAAATGGAGCAAGTAACTAGGAGCATTCTACCTACTCAAAAGTCTTTCATGTTCATTTCTTCTTTCCTTTGACATTGTTATCTTACCATTGATTTGGTAAGTAACCCTATCTTTGGATGTAAACGGGACGGGCGTGGGTCATTGTATAACTGTGATTAGCAATGTTGCAAGGTATCTTAGCATTTTTCTTTAGGGACTAAGATCATTTTGAAAGACAACTTAGATAGCGTCATCGCGGGACTATGATCTTGTATTTTTGCTTGTTTTTGTTAAGATACCTCACATGCGTAATATGGTCATTTATAAGGAAACCAAATGGATTTTACCCTAGGGGTGCTTGTGTGCAAGTTTATTGATTTTAATGCTTGATTTGTCTTGATTAGGGTTTTCTATTTGTTGGTTTTAATCTTTCCATGCAAAACCCTAATTACTAGCATTTGTATTTGAAAGCGTTAAATTGCGGAAAATAAAGTCCCACGCTATTACATCGTTTAGGGGATGGGGGTACAATTTATAAATGGGGATGAAATAGGAACTTAAATATTACAACCATATCGAATGACAATGAAGGAAATGTAAAAACAGTGTAAAAAGAAGGGAAAATGCATTTTGAACTATTATGTGTCGACACAAGCTCCGATGCATCGACATATAACTTTCCTTGCCCCTGTATTGCAAAATTAACTCAGTATGAGTCGATACATAATGGTATGTGTCGACTCATACACTGCATTTGTCGACTCATACGTGCTTTGTGTCGACTCATACACTATTTTTCCTTTTGTTTTAGGCCTGTAAAGCAGTATGTATCGACTCATAAGGCTATGTGTCGACTCATACTATTATTTTTTTACTTCAACATTGTTTTGTTGCATGTAATGGGTTAGTTCTCAACACATAATTAAAAGAATGGAAGATAAACAAAAGGTTAGCTTCAAGGACAACGGTTACTACACTTTGTCTTCAAAAAATGAATTACTAATGATGCTTGAAATGAAGAACTAAAGTCAAGAAGCTTACCTTGGAGTTGGATCTTATACTCTGAGCTTGAGTTGTTGTCTTGACTATTCTTGAACTTGGAAAAGAAAACAGAGGTGTTGTAGAAGCTTATTCCTCAGTTTGAACAATTTCTAGGTGATGTATGTGAGGTGCTTATATGTTTGGACAGGACTTGCAAGGTATGAGAGGTTCAAAGGTTTAGACTTTAAAACTCAAGAGTGGGAGTTTTAAGGACTGTTATGGCTTTTGTGAATATGAGATTTTGAGGGTTCACCAATAAAACTTCTGGCTTTTCTCTATATTTTTTCTAACCTCTTTGTCTTGCAAATGCTTCTTCTATTTATAGGCAGGAGGTTTGTGCATATGAGCTTACTAGGTTTGCAAGACAGCATGTTATGGTTTGGTTGGATTATAAAGATCAAACTATGTCAAGTACTCCATAGTCCCAAGATGAAGTACCAAAGTTGATGGTATAAAGGAGCTACTTCCCATGATTTATGGTGGAGTATAATCAGCAACAAGCAAGGTATGGACTCAAGACAAACTTTGTACAAAAAGCTTGCTTTTCAAGAATAACAATGGTGCCTTTATGTCATAAATGGAAAGATCTTTTGGACAATGGTTTAAACACTTGGGTAATAGCTCAAGAGTGGGTTTAAGCATTAAATTATGATGAGATTTTCAAACAAGGAGGCCTGCACATAATATTATGCAGCAAATCAAAGGGGTTTTTGTTATGTGTTCTTCAATAGAATGACTTGCAATTCAAGGATGGATGCCCAACTTCATGCCCTTGAATCTCCTAGACCAAGTATGATAAATTCATGCTCTTGGATGTTTTGGAAAGCTTGAAACATCCTCTATAACTTTCATGTTGGCCATTTTGACAAAATCATCTTGTAACTATGTGAAAAAATGCTAAGAACTTGGGATAAAATCCAGAATAAAATCTGTTGAAAATTTCACTAAGTGTTAAATGAAAATGTCATGACTTCATGAATTTATAACTCAATATCCAAGCACTTCTAGGAGAAGTTGTGTAAAGCAATGTTATAGATATCATGGAAATCTACAAATTTCATGTTAAAAGCTTCCCTTGAACCGTCTTGCATCTTGGTGAAAGAATAGCATGAAGTTGTGAAATTATCATGTATAAAAACACTTAGAAAATTTCTAAGTCTTGGAAATCTTGACTTTTAAAGTTGACTTTTGACTTTCTTGACTTCTTGATGATCAAGCTTGATATTCTTGAATGTCTTGATGAAATTTGATCTTTGGAATGTAATGTTGACCAAAAAAGTCAAAGTTTGACTTTCCAGTATGCAATTGACCATTTTGCCCTCTTGTCAATTCCAAACCTAAATTGAGGTATCAGTGTTGGAACCTTGACGTCATAGAAGATCTTGTGAGAGAATCCTTCAGAAATGAGAGGACAAATTTTGGGGTACAACAGTTGTAAACTATGGTTATTATTTTTTTAGTATATCAAATGGACTGTTTTGAAAGAAACATTAACTAAAATATAGGTCCAAACGCCAAGCTCAACTCGATTAAGAGTATGATTATCGGTGTTCTTTGAGAGTTCTTACACATTTATTAAAGAAATTGTGTCAATAATAAATGGATATTTCACTTGTTTTCACGTTCCTGAACTAAAGTACGTCATCATACTAAAGCTCGCTTCTACACTCCAATTAAGTGGGTCATGATAATAAATTAATAAATAAAATTGCAAGAATCTAGTTGATTTGTTTTAAATGTGAGACTTATTTTAGATTTTTTGATGAGTTACATGAATATTTGAGAATTGTAGATGGGTTGTTTAAAAAATTGAGAAGTGTGAAATAATATAAAAAATTATGTGGGTCTCATTTAAAGAACTCAAATGGATATGATGGATGTGGATGCTCTAAGAAAGTCATTTTATTACAAATTGGCCAAGTAGGCCCAAGAGCAGTTACCGTATGACCCAAAAAGGGAGTTAAAAGAAAAAAAACATTTATTGTATATATTCAGGAACATGCATTGCAGTGCTAACTTACTGGTCTGATTCAAATGAAATAAGAATCTTCTTCATCAAATTGAAATCTTAATGCAGAAACATTATTAAGCATAAATCAAAATATTATTGCAAGAACTTGCCAAAATCAAAACGGAAACAAATTAATGTGTTGCATAATTTTTACAGACAAGCTCATAAATTATTTTCCTAATACTAATTCCAAAAGTCACTATAAAACTTAAAACGAATAAAAGAGAAAAGGGGCGGATACTACTAACAGAGAAGAAAAATCGTTATAGTACGGAGGAGAAATCTGCAGAAATACAAAGGTAATCACGGTAGAGGAGAAAGATGACAACCGGAACCTAAATCCCAAAATCCACCAACCTGCAATTTCATCAACAACAACTGTAATAGAAATAGCTCGCACAAAATCAAAACACATACGCAAAATCCGACTAGACATTGGGCTCACCGTAGTTCAAAACCAACGGATTTGATACCGTTCCTCTTCCGGCGGTGCAACAACCTCGCATCGCCGGCACCACGAGCTGCTGGCCAGACCTTCTCCGCCCATTTTCTTCGATCGTGGTCGAAACGCCCTGCAAAGCTTCGCCAATTCACATATGAAGCAAGCTGCAATACGCACTGTTCTCCGATGATACTGCGAACCAAGTTTTGATATCATGGTGTTTTTCTATGTTTGTTCGGTTTCTTTTTTTTTCTTTTGGTTAAGGAAGAAGAAAATTTTGTGTTTTGTTGTACGAGAGAGAAGAGGAATTAAGAATTAGCATTGGAAACTAATCTTCTCTCTCTTCAATTGGTGTATTAATCTTCTTTTTTTATTTATTTTTCTTAGGCCGCTATGTGTCCTCATGTTATAGGCCAGAGACAAATTTTGAAAATCATAAGCATTAAATGCCTTAGACCATTTACAATGGTTGAAAAACTCAACACCCACTTTTTCAACTCCCAACACTCCACATCATTTTCTCTTTCTTCCACCTAATAACTCAACACTCATTCAACTTTTACCCTCTCCAATGGTTTTTCACTCAACACCCTATCCCACCACTTTTTATTTTCATATTCTTATTTAAATTTTATTTTTATTTTTATGATTACATAAAATTACAATTATCGATTAAAATTAAATTAAAATAATAAATACTTAATAATTTATTTTTTAATTTTTTGTAATAAAAACAAAATTTATTTAAATAATTGGATACGATACAAATCATCTTAAATTAATTTAAAATACAACACACAATTAACGTAATTAGTAAGTTACAAATAATTTAAAATGCAATACAACACACAAGTAACGTAATTAGTACGATACAAATAATTTAAAATGCAATACAAAACACACAAATAATTCAATCACGGAACATTCTAAACTTTGTCCATATGTGCTTCACTAGATCGGCTTGCAATTCTTGATGAACATTTGGATCACTAAAAAAAGACACTTAACTTCAAAATAAACACTAATAATAAAATTAAGATAGTGAAAAACTTAGTTTTTTTTTCTGTGTCCAAATCAAATGAACCAAGTCTCTATTTATAGAGAAAAAAAATCATGAATTTTGGTAAAAAATAAAAAATAAAAAAATAATTTGCAACGAAATAATTGAGTTCAAAGTATTAAATGGATAAAAATCTGGTCAGCCAATCAAGCACAGCCACGTGGCTGCACTTATCCCTTTTCTCTTTCTCTCTCCGCGTGGATTAAGACCCACTCTCACCCCCAGCGAGTGGGCTACACGCGCCTGGCCCAGACCAATGAGGCGCTGCCACGTCATGCCTTTGGTCAGCTTCAATTGTGTTGAGTTTTCTCAACACCTCTCTCTTCCAACACACACTCAACACCTCTCTCAACACCCATTGGAGGAGATTTTGCATGTTGAGTTCAAACTCAACATACCCATTGCACATGGTCTTAGGGGAATTGACGCTAGACTATACTGACCATGTTCCTTTTATATATTATTAAGTTAGTAGTAAATTAGGGATTAGAGATACTTGGACCTTGGGTCCAATTCTTTCTCAATAATGCTAACCTCCCTTTGTATTTACACCCCCTAATATTATGCCATAATTAAAATCGTCCCCCCAACAATTTTATTTATTTATTTATTTTTATTTATAATTTCGTTTTATATATATATATTTTTTTTTTTCTGATTTTTATATATTTATATTTATGTTTTAGTAATTATAATATTACTTATATTTTAATTATAATATTATATATTATTTATTATTACAAATAATTGATTATTCTTGACTTAGTTAAAATATAATATTGATATTTTATATTAAATTATATCTTTTAATCATACGCTTAAAAATAATTTTTCACAACATAATTTTATATTTTATATTAAAATATTAAAACTCGCACGATTCACCAAATACTCTATACGCGAGTGACACGTGGTCAACATCTGGCCCCGTGATGAGGAGACTATATCAGACTCCCTCGCTCTACATCTAAAAAATACTCAAACAAACATCAAATTATTTTTCGTAATAAATTCAACATTAATTTTCAAAAAAAGAATTACGAATTTATTTAAATCAATTGCGTGTTTAGTCTAACAATCTCTGTTGTTCACGACACCTAGACTAAACGCGCGGGAGATGCGAACATCTTTATAATTCATAAAAAATACAAACCAACCGTGAACTACGAAATGGGACTCTCATTCCTCCTAGGAGGATACGTAGGCATATGATCAAAATCATGGCGAGTCCCCTAACTAAAATTCAAACCCTTTTCCCAAATAAATAATTAAAACTCTATTTCCTAAGAACGCGCTTCTAAACTTAGTATCCTTGCGAACAAGGTAGAGGAGGGATGCCTAACACTTTCCCCTCGTCTAGAACCGAGTCCAAACCTAGAATCTCTGAATTTCTTTTAGGGTTATTCCTTTATACTCCATTCCTTTAGGATAAAAATTAAGGGTGGCGACTCTATAAAAAATCAGTTGTAACAGTGGGAGAACTGACTTGGTTGTTTTGCATTTGATCGCAATTGTTGCGGATAACAAGAGTCCCACCGACTTTTCTTTTATCCAGTAAGGAAAGAGTGAAAAGAACGGGAAATAACTTTGAGATATTTTCTTGAGTTCGGGGGTAGATTATGAAAAGGGAAAGTGTTAGCACCATTTTCATTCATACTTATCTATGGGCTCTTAGTTGCTTGTTGGATCACTTTTTAAATTTGCTTTGTTTGAAATATGCTTGTGGTGGGTTTTGAAAGTATTTTTGAAAAACGCCTTTGTTTAAGCAAACTTTGTAATGATTCTCATCTCTATAAGAATGCATACAAAGTGTTGGACTTTTTTTAAAATATTTCATGTTTTGAAAGTGTTTGGTGTGTTTGAAAAGATGTTTGTTTTTGAAGATGGATTGTGATCAAGTAATTAAGAATGTTCTACCTACTCAAAAGTCTTTTGTTTATTTTTTCCTTCCTTTGATATTGTTACCTTACCATTGATTAATAAGAAGCCTTATCTTTGGATGTAAAGGGATGGACATGGGTCATCGTATAGTCATGAATAGCAATATTGTGAGATATCTTATCATTTCTCTTTAAGGGACTAAGATCATTTGTAAGGCAACATTCAAAGCATCATTGAGGGACTATGATCTTGTATTTTTTATTGTTTTTGCTAAGACGTCTCACATGCATATTATGATCATTTTTTCAAGGCAACAAGTGAGGTTATCCTAGAGGTGCACGTGTATAAACGGTGTGTTTAATTGCATGCATTTTGTCTTTGAAATTAGGGTTTTCTAATGGTTGATTTTATCTTTCCATATACACCCTAATTACTAGCATTTATATGAAAATGGTAAATTGCGGAAAGTAAATTTACTATGCTATTACATCATTTAGGGATGGGGTGTACAAATTTACAAATGGGGATTGCAAGAAATTAAATCCTAATTATCTATTACAACCATATTGAATTTGAATAATATACAAGAATTGAAAGGAATATAATGTACGAGACATGAATGAAAAGAAAATGCATTTGTTTTGATTTTGTTAAAGAAAGATTTTGGCATATTTAACTAAAAGGAAATTTAATAAAACTAAAGAAAAATTGAGATTAAGTTAAAGAAATGAAAATGAATAGGAAAATGTTTTTGGTCTTTTTCATTGTAAGAAGTTAAATAAAATAAACTAAATAATTTAAATATTTTTGGTATTTTTGTGTAGAAAACAGTTTTTATGTTTAAAACAGTTTTGTGTAGAAAACAGTTTTGTGTTTGGGCCCAGGGCCTGTTTGTTAGTAAGCAGGGGGTCAAAAAATAAAAATGTTGAAGCCCAACTATGGAGGCCCAGATATGCTTCCTACAAACAAGACAAAGTAATAAAATATGAAAAATGACAAAAGGTCTCATTGGGGCTTGAACCCATGACCTTCTACATGGCAAAGCTTTAGCGCGTGCAGTTTGTACCACTGGGGTGGTCTGTTTCATTCGTTGGTTATACAACTTGCACTAAATATAAAATGAACTCATTTTTTAATGTCTAAACATGGCTTCATTTTCTTCCTTCGGGAGCAGGGATGCATAACTCCAATGTTAAGCTTCGGAAAGCTTCATCTCTCAGCCAAATCGAAAGATGTAAACATCAAATCTGCCTAAGATTTAAATATGAACCTAAACACATAATTTTCAACAACTATGGATCTAAGGCTAACATGAATTTTATTCAATACAAAAACTAAGACCTAACTGTTCAGAGATGAAATTTTTAATGTACAAGCAATGATAATCAAAACTATGGACATGGTTAGCTTCCTAGACATGCTATCTACATGTTTCCTTCACAAAGTATATACAAATGATGTTTGAATGAAGAATTACAAGTTTAAGAAAACTTACCTCTTGGAGTGAAACTTGAGGGACTTCGACAGAACCTCCAGGAACGGTTTGGTGATGGATTAAGCCTGCTTCGGCCTCCATGAAGCTAGTGGGATCACTACCTTGCTTTAAAAGTCACTGAAACGAAAGGTTGGTATATGAAGTTGGGAGTGAATCGAAAGGCTGGTATATGGAAGCTAGGGAGTGAATTGAATGGATGGTATATCAGAGCTAGGGAGTGAATCGAATGGCTCACTAACGCATGAATGGATTTGAGATTTTTGTGTGTAAAGTCAGGATGTGCCAAGGTTTAGGCTTGTGTGCGGGTTCTGAGTTTTTTGAGAGTTTGGGAGTGTTTGAGGATTTTTCAACACAACAAGAATCTGGCCTTTTGATTTGCAACTGGTCTCTATATTTATAGAGAAAAGGTTTGGGAAGTTGGAGTAACCAGATTTGTAAGATAACAAACTATGGTTTGGTTGAAAACGAAAAAAATAAAGTTGAATGAATTTTCGTGGTTCCCAAGTTCAAGTACAAGCAGGGACTGATGTTTGTTGGGTGCAGGAGACTTGACTCATGCTTTTGATGTTGCTTGCAATCAGAGATAAAGGTCACAAGCCTCAATGCATTGACAATTTGCATAAAGCCTGCTTTCTTGAAATGGCAATGGTAACTTTGTGCCATTAAGTGAAATATTGGCTTGGACAATACTTTAAACACTTGGGTAATAGCTTAATTCATTGTGTAAATAATTAATTATGGAGTGAAACACAAGCATTGAGGTCTGCAAAGTAAGATCATGTAGCATGGCCTATGGATTTTATCTTTTTCTTTACTCTGGTCGAATACCCCATCCCTTCGTTTTAATCACATGGATCCACCACTTTCGACCAGACTCATCAACAGACAAAACAATATTTGTTTCCACCAATTGTATGTCCTTCTAATGGACCAACAATTGTATGCTCTTCGAAACCATCAATTTTATGTTCTTCGAATGGACCACCAATTGTATGTTCTTCGAATCCACCAATTATATGTTCTTTGAATCCACCAAATTTATGTTCTTCGAATGGGCCACCAAATTTATGTTCTTCGAATGGGCCACCAATTGTATGTTCTTCGAATCCACCAATTATATGTTCTTCGAATGGACCATATTCATTTAAATGTACCACTTTGAGTATGCAAGATGATCTCATTGGCATAGTCAAAATGAAAGAAATTATGGATTGCTTTCCTACTTCACAAAGTTTTTTCAGGCATCTCGAGACTTGGAAAATTATATCTTGAGTAATCATTTGAAAGTTCAAATGTCCAAACTTCAAATGCCACAACCAATTATCCTTGTGGTTCGAATCAAGTATAAAGATAGAATTGTAATTCACAGTGTCAAAACTATGTGTGTCGAAGGGTTTAGTATGTGGATCGAAGCAGGTTGAGAGGTGGATCGAAGCAAGCATGGAGGAAATCATTGCTTTGTGGATCAAAGCAGGCATGAAGGAAACCAATGCCCAGTCGAAGCTTATGAACCGAGCTTGCTCGAAGGAAACCAATGCCCAATCGAAGCTTATGAACCAAGCTTGCTCGAAGGAAACCAATGCCCAATCGAAGCTTGTGAACCAAACTTGCTCGAAGGAAGCCAAATGCCCAATCTAAGCTTATGAACCAAGCTTGCTCGAAGGAAGCCAATGCCCAATCGAAGCTTGTGAACCAAGCTTGCTCGAAGGAAACCAATGCCCATCGAAGCTTATGAACCAAGCTTGATCTTTTTTTATTTGATGCTTGAGAGTCCAATATGATCCATGGAAACTACATGGGGCATTAAAAGTCCAATTGTACTTGTGCAAATTCAAACTCTAGTTTTGAGTCATCAGTGTTGAGGAAGTATCTTAAGCTGATCAAACCTTGTGAAGTCTTGACCCAATAGAGATCTTGTGAGAAAAATCTTGAGAAGTGAGAGGGAAAATTTTGGGGTGCAACATATGGAATACTAATTTTCCATATTTCCAATTTGCAAT